GTGTGTGTGTGTGTGTGTGTGTGTGTGTGTGTGTGTGTGTGTGTGTGTGTGTGTGTGTGAGGCTTAAGTACCGTCTGGTACGTCGTCATCATTAATTATACTAGTATATACAAGTGCGTGTGAACGTGTGTGTGTGTGTGGGGTGTGTGTGTGTGTGTGTGTGTGTGTGTGTGTGTGTGTGTGTGTGTGTGCTCAAAGTTGTTTATGTCTCAGTAAGACTAGACTCGACTTAGACTTAAACAGTAACTGACTAAACGTCCTCAAATAATCTATCTTCTTGACCAACAAGGTAATCAAAATAGCTTGCTTGAACAATAAGACGATTATTATTATTATTATAATCAAAAAGAAGCGCTAAGCCACAAGGGCTATACAGCAACAATAAGACGAATGATTCGCCGAACAACAATAATGTAACAAGAGGCAGCACAGCGTCAGGAACAAGGAGACATAATAACAACCCTAACTGGGGACCATCAGCAGATCCTCCATAAAAGTCATAAAACTCCCTTATTAATGTATCTAAGTTCAGCATAACCAAATCCCCGACTACAACAGTGGGTAGATGCCACAAAATAGATCCGCAGCAGTAGTTTGGCACCTGAGTTGACTTAAGAGTCTCAGTACAAAACACAACCTCAGTAAAACGTCATAAATCACTAAGTCTGAACTATGCTCTGTAAACAAAGTTACAAAGACTTACGAGTTGTATGTTCCAACTCACCATCGAAACCACATTCTACCAAAACAGTCTAAATAACGAACAAACAGCCAGAAGCAAGAAAGATGGAGAAATAGGTGCTGGTCGAGCAAAGACACAGGGACATTTTGTGAAATTGTGACCGCAAGCGGCCAGCTGGTGTGATCATGTGACTCTCCTGTGCTGACCAGCAAGGCGCCAGCTGGTGTGATCATGTGACTCTCCTGTGCTGACCAGCAAGGCGCCAGCTGGTGTGATCATGTGACTCTCCTGTGCTGACCAGCAAGGCGCCAGGGGACTGGATGTGGAAGCAGTGTGACATCTCCTGTGCTGACCAGCAAGGCGCCAGCTGGTGTGATCATGTGACTCTCCTGTGCTGACCAGCAAGGCGCCAGCTGGTGTGATCGTGTGACTCTCCTGTGCTGACCAGCAAGGCGCCAGCTGGTGTGATCGTGTGACTCTCCTGTGCTGACCAGCAAGGCGCCAGCTGGTGTGATCGTGTGACTCTCCTGTGCTGACCAGCAAGGCGCCAGCTGGTAAACAAGCGAGGTGATAGTTACCTAAGTAGTTTGCCAATGCGGACAGCCAACCACAACTCTCAAATCAATCAGTCAATCAATCAATCAAGTTTATTCTCCATAAGGATTACAATGGGGGGTTTACAGATTTTGGATATTGTGTAGTTTACATGTAATAAAATACTAATAACAGAGGGGGCCACTAGAACACCTAGCATGGCTAGGCATTTCGGGCAAACTTAGATTAATTCTTAACCCTAACTTATTACAAATTATGGAATGAGTTGACTAAATACTAAGTGACTAAATACTAAGTGACTAAATACTAAGTGACTAAATACTAAGTGACTAAATACTAAGTGACTAAATACTAGTTAGTAAGTTTAGCAATGTGAATGCTTTTGTTTTGGAACAATACATAGTTTATATATTGGACTATCACAGGCAAACTTATGACTAGTTAGGAATCATTATTTTAAGATTAAGATTCGTATTTCCGTACTTATAGTCAAATGGGTGAGTGAGGGAGTGTAATTGTGAACCACCAGGTGGTTATCATGTAGTTAGTTGTTGGGGTGTATCAGGAAGATAAGATGTTTTCTAACTGTATTTTTGAAAGTGATGAATGTGTCTGCAGTTCTAGAGTTTTCAGGTAGGGTGTTCCAGATTTTAGGGCCTTTGAAATACAATGAATTTTTGTAAAGGTTTAGTCTGACACAGGGAATGTCGTAGAGATGCTTGTGTCTGGTATTATGCCTGTGGGTCCTGTCACAAATATCAAGAAAGCGTTTTAGGTCAAGGTTAATATTAGAATTTAAGGTCCTGTATATGTAGATTGCACAGTAGTAAGTGTGGATGTTCTGAACAGGGAGTAAGTTTAGATCTATGAAGAGTGGGGGGAGTGTTGCCAGGGATGGGATTTAGTGATTATTCTCACTGTGGCTTTTTGTTGGGTTATTATTGGCTTTAGGTGAGTTGCTGCAGTTGATCCCCAAGCACAAATAGCATAGGTGAGGTATGGATAAATGAGTGAATGGTATAGTGTGAGAAGGGCATTTTGCGGCATGTAGTATCATATCTTGGAGAGGATCCCAACTGTTTTGGATACGTTTTTTGTTATGTGTTGGATATGGGTGCTGAAATTCAGGTTGTTGTTGAGGATTGTGCCTTCATTATGTCTGGCAATTAGAGTGTTGTCGATCTTGATGTTAAGTTGCGCAACACCTGCTCTGCAACCAAACATAATATAGTAGGTTTTTTCAGTGTTAAGTGCAAGTTTGTTGGTTGTCATCCAAGTCGACATTTTGAGCAGCTCCTCATTAACAATGGTGTTGTGGGTGGCAAGACTAGGGTGAGAGATGATATAAGTGGTGTCGTCAGCAAAGAGAATGGGTTTCAGGTGTTGGGATATGTTTGGAAGATCATTGATGTAAATGAGGAAGTGCAGAGGCCCAAGGACACTTCCCTGCGGAACTCCAGTATCAAGTGGCCGTATTGATGAGGCTGTGTCTTTAATGGTGACGTACTGATACCTGTTAGTAAGGTAGGATTTAAAATATGCAAGCGCATGGCCTCTTATACCATAATGGTCAAGTTTGTGGAGTAGGATGCCGTGGTCTACTGTGTCAAAAGCTTTTCTTAGGTCAATAAAAATTCCTAGCGGATATTCCTTATTTTTCAATGCTGTGTAAAGCAGATCTAGCATTTTTACAATTGCATCATTAGTGTTTTTATTTTTCCTGAATCCAAATTGGCAAGGGTTGAGTATGTTTTTTGCCGTTATAAATGCATATTGTCTCCTGTGCACGAGTTTCTCGAAGATTTTGGATAGCAATGGTAAGTTTGATATTGGTCTATAGTTGTTTTCATCAGTCAGGTCACCACCTTTATGTATTGGTGTAATCCTTGCTGTCTTGAGTAGTGTCAGGAAAGTGCTAGTTTCTAGTGACTTGTTAAAAAGTAATGAAATAGCATGCGGAAGGACATGGGCTGCTTGCTTGTACAATAATGGTGGGACATGAGACAGATTCCCTGAGTTATTTTTAAGTGACTATAATCTCGGTGGCTTCGGTGGGCTCAGTTGGTACAAGATAGAAGGAATCTGGGAAATTCCCATCTAGGTAATCCCCGGCATGGGCGTTGGTACGTGGAATTTTACTGGCAAGATTAGATCCTATGGTTGAGAAGAAGTCGTTTATCTTGTTAGCTGTATCAGTGGGATGCAGTGGTGTTTCTTGAGGTTTAGTTAGGACAATATTCTTTTTTTTTTTTTCAGTTTGTGGGTCCCCAGAATTTGGGAGAGTGCTTTCCAGGTCTTTTTTTTATATCTCCTCTTGTGTCAGTGAATCTGCTGGAGTAGTACAGTTGTTTGGCTTTCTTTATTAATTTGGTGAGAACTGTTGAATATTGTTTAAGAATATCTTTGTGTATTAAGCCCTGTCTGTATTGCTTTTCATATTGGTGTTTCTTATCAATGGATTTCAGAATGCTGCTGGTTAGCCATGGGCAACCGAGCCGTTCATTCGTGATCTGTTTCGTTTTTATAGGACAATGTTTGTTGTATAGTCTAAGTAATTTATTAAGAAAAATGTCTGTCCAATCGTCAATACCATTGGCCTTGGAGAATTCTGTAGGCCAATCAACAGTCTCTAGGTCAGCTGTGAACTTCCTTATTGAGGCCTCGTTATGGAGTCTAAATGAAACTTTGTTGTATTCGAGTGGTGGTTTACTAATGTTTGTTAAGAGAAAGGTTGGGTAGTGGTCTGTAGTGCTGTCTGTGATTATCCCTGATTTAAGGGGGGCTAGTATATTGGTCCATATGTGGTCTATTATAGTTGCACTTGTCTCAGTCAGCCTGGTTGGTTTAGTTATTGTTGGCATGAGAAGTGTGTTGTTCATATTGTTGATGAAATCAGTTACAGGCTGATCATCTAGTAGGTCAAGGTTGATATTGAAGTCTCCAGCTAAGAGAAGGTGGTGCTTGTTCATTTGTCTGTTTGTTATTAGAGCCTTTAATTTCTCACTGAAATTTGGGATGTTTGTGTGGGGTATTCGGTAAATGGCACCGATTGTTATAGGAGTCTTCAGTTTTTTTACAGTAAAATTAGCAAAAATGTATTCCCCATATTCATCACTAAAACAAGTGGTGCTAATACAAGATAGCTGGTTAAAGTAATAGACTGCAGTACCACCCCCAACTTGGTATGGTCTGCAGTTGTGGATTGCTGTGTATCCTGGTAGAGGGTAGATATCTACTGTGTCCTGCTTAAGCCAGGTCTCAGTAAGAAAAATGCAGAAAGGTGGCTTTAGCGACTCAAGGAGTGCCAGGAGGTCATCATAGTGCTTGCTTAAGGACCTGATGTTGTAGTTAAGAACTGATAGACTTTTAGCACTGTTTAGGGTAGTGTTCGCTTGTGATGCTGTGTAATAAAGGCAGTTACTTTCCAGTGAGCACAGTGAAGTGTAAATGTTTCATCCTACCTAATGACATTGCTAAGTCAAATTATAATATAAAATAAGATATTTTCATTTTAGCTAATAATGAAAATATCAGCAATATAAAATTATATGATAGACAATATACATCAAATGCACATTATTTACAGTGGGCCCCATTCAGGGGGCGAAATAGTGTGTCTGTGTCTGTGTATGAGTCTGTGCCCGTCTGTATGTATGTCTGCGCCTGTCTGTCTAAGAGTTTGTGTACATCTTTCTCAGTAAATCTGTTAACAAATGTCTGTAAGTCTGTGGTAAACCGTCAGTGAGTCTGTCTCTCTTCACAGCCTGGGCAGGACTCCCTTCCCTGGTGTGGTGTTCGACAAGAACTTTATCAAGTTCCTGGAGGAAGGACATAGAATGGAACAACCTAAGTTCTCCACGCGAGCACTGTAAGTTCTCCAGGATAATTAAATTCATTTCAGCTCTCTAAGTTGTCCATGGCAGCTTTCTAAGTGGTTCATGGCAGCTCTCTAAACCCATGACGACTCTTATAAGTTCTTCAGTGAAACTTTTTATAATTTTATCAAGCTCGGGAGTTCAGGTTTCAGCAATTTTAATAAATAAATGTATGACTAGACTGGAAAAATAATTATAACGACAATAAACTCACGATCTATCGCAGTAAACAACTGTCAACCAACAACATGACAATGGCCCGGGATTCGAACCGTGGGAAGTCACAGCTGCTGCTGATGCCTCTGCTGTTGTTGCTGCTGCTGATGCCTCTGCTGTTGTTGCTGCTGCTGATGCCTCTGCTGTTGTTGCTGCTGCTGATGCCTCTGCTGTTGCTACTGCTGCTGATGCCTCTGCTGTTGCTACTGCTGCTGAGGCCTCTGCTGTTGCTACTGCTGCTGATACCTCTGCTGTTGCTACTGCTGCTGATGCCTCTCCTGTTGCTGCTGCTGCTGAGGCCTCTGCTGTTGCTACTGCTGCTGATGCCTCTGCTGTTGCTACTGCTGCTGATACCTCTGCTGTTGCTGCTGCTGCTGATGCCTCTGCTGTTGCTACTGCTGCTGAGGCCTCTGCTGTTGCTGCTGCTGATGCCTCTGCTGTTGCTGCTGCTGCTGAGGCCTCTGCTGTTGCTACTGCTGCTGATGCCTCTGCTGTTGCTACTGCTGCTGATGCCTCTGCTGTTGCTACTGCTGCTGATGCCTCTGCTGTTGCTGCTGCTGCTGATGCCTCTGCTGTTGTTGCTGCTGCTGAGGCCTCTGCTGTTGCTACTGCTGCTGATGCCTCTGCTGTTGCTGCTGCTGCTGAGGCCTCTGCTGTTGCTGCTGCTGCTGATGCCTCTGCTGTTGCTGCTGCTGCTGATGCCTCTGCTGTTGCTGCTGCTGCTGATGCCTCTGCTGTTGCTACTGCTGCTGAGGCCTCTGTTGTTGCTACTGCTGCTGATGCCTCTGCTGTTGCTGCTGCTGCTGATGCCTCTGCTGTTGCTACTGCTGCTGAGGCCTCTGTTGTTGCTACTGCTGCTGATGCCTCTGCTGTTGCTGCTGAGGCCTCTCCTGTTGCTGCTGCTGCTGATGCTAATATCACACGTCAGTACTGTATGTACAATCTTCCTACTGTAAGCTTCGAGGCTCAGTGCTATAGCATTGGGCTTCCTGCGTACAAGCACCACGGTTCGAATCCCCGTTCATTCTTCTTATTATTGTAGAGCGAGAATGATAATAAATTACTTTCATATCAAAAACTATTATTATTATTTTATTATTTTATTATTTGCTATGTTATTGTTGTTATTTGTGTTGTGTTGTGTTTCTGTTGCTGTGTGTGTGTTTAAGCATACTTGTATGTGTAATTGTCTACTGTAGTGAGGCTGTGCTGTAGCTATGGCTTCTGTGTACAGCACCAGGTTCGATGTTATTCTTATAGTGTAGGGAATGATATAATTTACTTCATATCAAACTATTTATAGTATATTTGTATTATTTTATTATATTTAGTTGGTTGTTGTTGTTGTTGTGTTTTGTGGTTGTGTGTTAGTTGTTAATGTTGTTGTCGTTGTGTGTGTTGTTGTGCAGAACAGAGTAGAAGTTATGGTTAGTATGTAGTAATGTGGTTAGTTACATAGTAGTCAGTGTATACATGGTGTGTGGTAGTTATAGTGTAGTAAGTTAGTGTGTTATGTTAGTATGTTGTGGGTAGCAAGTGTTGTGTACAGTTGTCAGGTACAAGGTGGTTATGTTACAGTATGTCAGGTACAAGGTGGTTATGTTACAGTGTGTCAGGTACAAGGTGGTTATGTTACAGTGTATCAGGTACAAGGTGATTATGTTACAGTATGTCAGGTACAAGGTGGTTATGTTACAGTGTGTCAGGTACAAGGTGATTATGTTACAGTGTGTCAGGTACAAGGTGGTTATGTTACAGTGTGTCAGGTACAAGGTGTTATGTTACAGTTGTCAGGTACAAGGTGATATGTTACAGTGTGTCAGGTACAAGGTGGTTATGTTACAGTTGTGTCAGGTACAAGGTGATAATGTTACAGTGTGGCAGGTACAAGGTGATGATGTTACAGTGTGGCAGGTACAAGGTGGTTATGTTACAGTGTGTCAGGTACAAGGTGATAATGTTACAGTGTGGCAGGTACAAGGTGGTGATGTTACAGTGTGGCAGGTACAAGGTGATGATGTTATAGTGTATCAGGTACAAGGTGATTATGTTACAGTATGTCAGGTACAAGGTGGTTATGTTACAGTGTGTCAGGTACAAGGTGATGATGTTACAGTGTGTCAGGTACAAGGTGGTTATGTTACAGTGTATCAGGTACAAGGTGATTATGTTACAGTATGTCAGGTACAAGGTGGTTATGTTACAGTGTGTCAGGTACAAGGTGGTTATGTTACAGTAGTGTCAGGTACAAGGTGTATGTTACAGTATGTCAGGTACAAGGTGATTATGTTACAGTATGTCAGGTACAAGGTGGTATGTTACAGTGTGTCAGGTACAGGTGATATGTTACAGTATGTCAGGTACAAGGTGGTTATGTTACAGTGTGTCAGGTACAAGGTGGTTATGTTACAGTGCATCAGGTACAAGGTGATGATGTTACAGTATGTCAGGTACAAGGTGATGATGTTACAGTGTGTCAGGTACAGGTGATGATGTTACAGTATGTCAGGTACAAGGTGATGATGTTACAGTGTGTCAGGTACAAGGTGATGATGTTACAGTATGTCAGGTACAAGGTGATGATGTTACAGTGTGTCAGGTACAAGGTGATGATGTTACAGTGTCAGGTACAAGGTGATGATGTTACAGTATGTCAGGTACAAGGTGATGATGTTACAGTGTGTTCAGGTACAAGGTGAGGATGATGTATATACAGTATGTCAGGTACAAGGTGATGATGTTACAGTGTATCAGGTACAAGGTGATGATGTTACAGTATGTCAGGAACAAGGTGATGATGTTACAGTGTATCAGGTACAAGGTGATGATGTTACAGTATGTCAGGGACAAGGTGATGATGTTACAGTATGTCAGGTACAAGGTGGTTATGTTACAGTGTGTCAGGTACAAGGTGGTTATGTTTACAGTAGTGTTCAGGTACAAGGTGGTTATGTTACAGTGTGTCAGGTACAAGGTGGTTATGTTACAGTGTGTCAGGTACAAGGTGGTTATGTTACAGTATTTCAGGTACAAGGTGGTTATGTTACAGTGTGTCAGGTACAAGGTGGTTATGTTACAGTGTGTCAGGTACAAGGTGATGATGTTACAGTGTGTCAGGTACAAGGTGATGATGTTACAGTGTGTCAGGTACAAGGTGATGATGTTACAGTATGTCAGGTACAAGGTGATGATGTTACAGTATGTCAGGTACAAGGTGATGATGTTACAGTATGTCAGGTACAAGGTGATGATGTTACAGTGTATCAGGTACAAGGTAGTTATGTTACAGTGTGTCAGGTACAAGGTGGTTATGTTACAGTGTGTCAGGTACAAGGTGGTTATGTTACAGTGTGTCAGGTACAAGGTGGTTATGTTACAGTGTGTCAGGTACAAGGTGGTTATGTCACAGTGTGTCAGGTACAAGGGGATGATGTTACAGTTTGTCAGGTACAAGGTGATGATGTTACAGTATGTCAGGTACAAGGTGGTTATGTTACAGTGTATCAGGAACAAGGTGGTTATGTTACAGTGTATCAGGTACAAGGTGATGATGTTACAGTGTGCCAATTACAAGGTGGTTATGTTACAGTATGTCAGGTACAAGGTGGTTATGTTACAGTGTATCAGGTACAAGGTGATGATGTTACAGTGTGTCAGGTACAAGGTGGTTATGTTACAGTGTGTCAGGTACAAGGTGGTTATGTTACAGTGTGTCAGGTACAAGGTGGTTGTGTTACAGTGTATCAGGTACAAGGTGATGATGTTACAGTGTGCCAGGTACAAGGTGGTTATGTTACAGTGTGTCAGGTACAAGGTGATGATGTTACAGTGTGTCAGGTACAAGGTGGTTATATTACAGTGTGTCAGGTACAAGGTGATGATGTTACAGTGTTTCAGGTACAAGGTGATATGTTCAGTGTGTCAGGTAAGGTGTTATGTTACAGTGTGTCAGGTACAAGGTGATGATGTTACGTGTCAGGTACAAGGTGGTTATGTTACAGTGTGTCAGGTACAAGGTGATGATGTTACAGTGTGTCAGGTACAAGGTGGTTATGTTACAGTGTGTCAGGTACAAGGTGATGATGTTACAGTGTGTCAGGTACAAGGTGGTTATGTTACAGTGTGTCAGGTACAAGGTGTTATGTTACAGTTCAGGTACAAGGATGATGTTACAGTGTGTCAGGTACAAGGTGGTTATGTTACAGTGTGTCAGGTACAAGGTGGTTATGTTACAGTATTTCAGGTACAAGGTGGTTATGTTACAGTGTGTCAGGTACAAGGTGGTTATGTTACAGTATTTCAGGTACAAGGTGGTTATGTTACAGTGTGTCAGGTACAAGGTGGTTATGTTACAGTGTGTCAGGTACAAGGTGATGATGTTACAGTGTGTCAGGTACAAGGTGATGATGTTACAGTGTGTCAGGTACAAGGTGATGATGTTACAGTGTGTCAGGTACAAGGTGGTTATGTTACAGTGTGTCAGGTACAAGGTGGTTATGTTACAGTATGTCAGGTACAAGGTGATTATGTTACGGTATGTCAGGTACAAGGTGGTTATGTTATAGTGTATATGTCAGGTACAAGGTGATTATGTTACAGTATGTCAGGTACAAGGTGATTATGTTACAGTACGTCAGGTACAAGATGATTATGTTACAGTATGTCAGGTACAAGGTGGTTATGTTACAGTGTATATGTCAAGTACAAGGTGATTATGTTACAGTATGTCAGGTACAAGGTGATTATGTTACAGTATGTCAGGTACAAGGTGGTTATGTTACAGTATGTCAGGTACAAGGTGATTATGTTACAGTATGTCAGGTACAAGGTGGTTATGTTACAGTATATCAGGTACAAGGTGATTATGTTACAGTATGTCAGGTACAAGGTGTTTATGTTACAGTGTGTCAGGTACAAGGTGATTATGTTACAGTGTGTCAGGTACAAGGTGATTATGTTACAGTATGTCAGGTACAAGGTGATTATGTTACAGTATGTCAGGTACAAAGTGGTTATGTTACAGTGTATATGTCAGGTACAAGGTGATTATGTTACAGTATGTCAGGTACAAGGTGATTATGTTACAGTATGTCAGGTACAAGGTGATTATGTTACAGTATGTCAGGTACAAGGTAGTTATGTTACAGTATGTCACGTACAAGGTGATTATGTTACAGTATGTCAGGTACAAGGTGGTTATGTTGCAGTATGTCAGGTACAAGGTGATTATGTTACAATATGTCAGGTACAAGGTGGTTATGTTACAGTATGTCAGGTACAAGGTGATTATGTTAAAGTATGCCAGGTACAAGGTGATTATGTTAAAGTATGTCATGTACAAGGTGATTATGTTACAGTGTATATGTCAGGTACAAGGTGGTTATGTTACAGTGTATATGTCAGGTACAAGGTGATTATGTTACATTGTGTCAGGTTCAAGGTGATTATGTTACAGTATGTCAGGTACAAGGTGATTATGTTACAGTATGTCAGGTACAAGGTGATTATGTTACAGTATGTCAGGTACAAGGTGGTTATGTTACAGTGTGTCAGGTACAAGGTGATTATGTTACAGTATGTCAGGTACAAGGTGGTTATGTTACAGTATGTCAGGTACAAGGTGATTATGTTACAGTATGTCAGGTACAAGGTGATTATGTTACAGTATGTCAGGTACAAGGTGATTATGTTACAGTATGTCAAGTACAAGGTGATTATGTTACAGTATGTCAGGTACAAGGTGGTTATGTTACAGTGTGTCAGGTACAAGGTGGTTATGTTACAGTGTGTCAGGTACAAGGTGGTTATGTTACAGTGTGTCAGGTACAAGGTGGTTATGTTACAGTGTGTCAGGTACAAGGTGGTTATGTTACAGTGTGTCAGGTACAAGGTGGTTATGTTACAGTATGTCAGGTACAAGGTGGTTATGTTACAGTGTGTCAGGTACAAGGTGGTTATGTTACAGTGTATATGTCAGGTACAAGGTGATGATGGAGTGCTGGTCTACATACCCACATGAGAGACCTTCTTTCACCCAGCTGGAAGCAACACTGGGACACTTCCTCACCCAGGCTGACAGGCAGGTAAGTCCACTGCATCACATGTAGACCAAACTAAATATAAACTTAGCCAGATGGACAACTGTCATTACGTGCGTCAATATATGCTGGAATGCGTCAGATCTTGCGTCATTATGTGTTGGAATGCCATCAAATTAATGAATTCAGAGATAACTCACTTACAAATGTTCAAGAAAACGCAGTGTATTTCAATTTGGAAAAAAAGTCCCTCTCACTGTCCACTGTAACTAACTCATTACCACTTAAACTTTCTTTACAAGCATTCCTTGCTAAAATATATGATTATATTTTTTGATAATATTCTTTTGACGTAATTCATGCTTGCATAAATTACCCATTACGATTGTAACCTGATATAAATAGTTTATAACCATTGTAACTATCAAAGCATTGTTGCCCAGTCCCTGGACCCATTATGTACCTCTGTAATATTGATGTACAGTCCCTGGACCCATTATGTACCTCTGTAATGTTGATGTACAGTCCCTGGACCCATTATGTACCTCTGTAATGTTGATGTACAGTCCCTGGACCCATTATGTACCTCTGTAATGTTGAGGTACAGTCCCTGGACCCATTATGTACCTCTGTAATGTTGATGTACAGTCCTTGGACCCATTATGTACCTCTGTAATGTTGAGGTACAGTCCCTGGACCCATTATGTACCTCTGTAATGTTGATGTAGAGTCCCTGGACCCATTATGTACCTCAGTAATGTTGAGGTACAGTCCCTGGACCCATTACGTACCTCTGTAATGTTGATGTACAGTCCCTGGACCCATTATGTACCTCAGTAATGTTGAGTACAGTCCCTGGACCCATTATGTACCTCTGTAATGTTGAGGTACAGTCCCTGGACCCATTATGTACCTCAGTAATGTTGATGTACAGTCCCTGGACCCATTATGTACCTCTGTAATGTTGAGGTACAGTCCCTGGACCCATTAGTACCTCATGTAATTTGAGGTACAGTCCCTGGACCCATTACGTACCTCTGTAATGTTGAGGTCAGTCCCTGGACCCATTATGTACCTCTGTAATGTTGAGGTACAGCCCTGGACCATATACTTTACCTCTGTAATGTTGAGGTACAGTCCCTGGACCCATTACGTACCTCTGTAATGTTGAGGTACAGTCCCTGGACCCATTACGTACCTCTGTAATGTTGAGGTACAGTCCCTGGACCCATTACGTACCTCTGTAATGTTGAGGTACAGTCCCTGGACCCATTACGTACCTCTGTAATGTTGAGGTACAGTCCCTGGACCCATTACGTACCTCTGTAATGTTGAGGTACAGCCCTGGACCCATTATGTACCTCTGTAATGTTGAGGTACAGTCCCTGGACCCATTATGTACCTCTGTAATGTTGAGGTACAGTCCCTGGACCCATTACGTACCTCTGTAATGTTGAGGCACAGTCCCTGGACCCATTACGTACCTCTGTAATGTTGAGGTACAGTCCCTGCACCCATTACGTACCTCTGTAATGTTGAGGTACAGTCCCTGGACCCATTATGTACCTCTGTAATGTTGAGGTACAGTCCCTGGACCCATTATGTACCTCTGTAATGTTGAGGTACAGTCCCTGGACCCATTATGTACCTCTGTAATGTTGAGGTACAGTCCCTGGACCCATTACGTACCTCTGTAATGTTGAGGTACAGTCCCTGGACCCATTACGTACCTCTGTAATGTTGAGGTACAGTCCCTGGACCCATTACGTACCTCTGTAATGTTGAGGTACAGTCCCTGGACCCATTACGTACCTCTGTAATATTGAGGTACAGTCCCTGGACCCATTACGTACTTCTGTAATGTTGAGGTACAGTCCCTGGACCCATTACGTACCTCTGTAATGTTGAGGTACAGTCCCTGGACCCATTACGTACCTCTGTAATATTGAGGTACAGTCCCTGGACCATTACATACCTCTGTAATGTTGAGGTACAGTCCCTGGACCCATTATGTACCTCTGTAATGTTGAGGTACAGTCCTGGACCCATTATGTACCTCTGTAATGTTGAGGTACAGTCCCTTGACCCATTACGTACCTCTGTAATATTGAGGTACAGTCCCTGGACCCATTACGTACCTCTGTAATGTTGAGGTACAGTCCCTGGACCCATTACGTACCTCTGTAATGTTGAGGTACAGTCCCTGGACCCATTATGTACCTCTGTAATGTTAAGGTACAGTCCCTGGACCCATTACATACCTATGTAATGTTGAGGTACAGTCCCTGGACCCTTTATGTACCTATGTAATGTTGAGGTATAGTCCCTGGACCCATTATGTATCTCTGTAACGTTGAGGTACAGAACTTGGACCCATTATGTACCTCTGTAATGTTGAGGTACAGTCCCTGGACCCATTATGTACCTATGTAATGTTGAGGTACAGTCCCTGGACCCATTATGTACCTCTATAATGTTGAGGTACAGTCTCTGGACCCATTATGCACCTCTATAATGTTGAGGTACAGTCCCTGGACCCATTATGCACCTATATAATGTTGAGGTACAGTCCCTGGACCCATTATGTACCTTTGTAATGTTGAGGTATAGTCCCTGAGCCCACTATGTACCTCTGTAATGTTGAGGTACAGTCCCTGGACCCATTATGTACCTCTGTAACGTTGAGGTACAGACCCTGGACCCATTATGTTCCTATGTAATGTTGAGGTACAGTCCGTGGACACATTATGTACCTATGTAATGATGAGGTACAGTCCCTGGACCCATTGCGTACCTCTGTAATGCTGAGGTACATTCCCTGAACCCATTATGTACCTCTGTAATGTTGAGGTACAGTCCCTGGACTCATGTACTCTTTTGACTTCCACTCACACCATGGGTATAGTGCTACTGCCACCCACACCATGTTTTAGGTGTTACTATCATCCACACCATGGGTATGTTGTTACTACACCCACACCATGGGTATGATGTTGCTACCACCCACACCATGGGTATGATGTTACTATCACCCACACCATGGGTATGATGTTACTACCACCCACACCATGGGTATGATGTTACTACCACCCACACCATTGGTATGATGTTACTACCACCCACACCGTGGGTATGATGTTACTACCACGCACATCATGGGTATGATGTTACTACCACCCACATTCTGGTATGATGTTACTACCACCCACACCGTGGGTATGATGTTACTACCACCCACACCATGGGTATGATGTTACTACCACCCACACCATGGGTATGATGGTACTACCACCCACGCCATGGGCATGATATTACTTCCACCCACACCATGGGTATGATGTTACTACCACCCACACCATGGGTATGATGTTACTACTACCCACACCATGGGTATGATGTTACTACCACCCACACCATGGGTATGATATTACTACCACCCACACAATGGGTATGATGTTACTACCACCCACACCATTGGTATGATGTTACTACCACCCACACCATGGGTATGATGTTACTACCACCCACACCATGGGTATGATGTTACTACCACCCACACCATTGGTATGATGTTACTACCACCCACACAATGGGTATGATGTTACTACCACCCACACCATTGGTATTATGTTACTACCACCCACACCATGGGTATGATGTTACTACTACCCACACCATGGGAATGATGTTACTACCACCCACACCATTGGTATGATGTTACTACCACCCACACCATGGGTATGATGTTACTACCACCCACACCATGGGTATGATGTTACTACCACCCACACCGTGGGTATGATGTTACTACCACCCACACCATGGGTATGATGTTACTACCACCCACACCCTGGGTATGATGTTACTACCACCCACACCATGGGTATGATGTTACTACCACCCACACCATGGGTATGATGTTACTACCACCCACACCATGGGTATGATGTTACTACCACCCACACCATGGGTATAATGTTACTACCACCCACACCATAGGTATGATGTTACTACCTCCCACACCGTGGGTATGATGTTACTAACACCCACACCATGGGTATGATGTTACTACCACCCACACCGTGGGTATGATGTTACTACTACGCACACCGTGGGTATGATGTTACTACCATCCACACCATGGGTATGATGTTACTACCACCCACACCCTGGGTATGATGCTACCACCCACACCATGGGTATGATGTTACTACCACCCACACCATGGGTATGATGTTACTACCACCCACACCATGGGTATGATGTTACTACCACCCACACCATGGGTATAATGTTACTACCACCCACACCATGGGTATGATGTTACTACCACCCACACCCTGGGTATGATGTTACTACCACCCACACCATGGGTATGATGTTACTACCACCCACACCATGGGTATGATGTTACTACCACCCACACCATGGGTATGATGTTACTACCACCCACACCATGGGTATAATGTTATTACCACCCACACCATGGGTATGATGTTACTACCACCCACACCGTGGGTATGATGTTACTACTACGCACACCGTGGGTATGATGTTACTACCATCCACACCATGGGTATGATGTTACTACCACCCACACCCTGGGTATGATGTTACTACCACCCACACCATGGGTATAATGTTATTACCACCCACACCATGGGTATGATGTTACTACCACCCACACCGTGGGTATGATGTTACTACTACGCACACCGTGGGTATGATGTTACTACCACCCACACCATGGGTATGATGTTACTACCACCCACAACATGGGTATGATGTTACTCTTGTATCCTACACACAAATAACAACGTAAACCTTCCCTCGATATCTGTGATTCCCCACAATGTACACTCACACTCTCCCAGTTGACTATAAACTTAGAAATACGTAATACAACTATTACCTAATGAATCTTAACTAGTTATAAGTTTGCCTGTGGTTCTCCAATATAGAAACTATGTAATGTGCCAAAATAGAACTATTCACATTGCTAAATTTACGAACTATAATGCAGTTACTTAGCCTTAATACAAGTATGCTTCATAATCTGTACCAATATAGAGTTTTGAAGTAATCTTAGTCTGCTGAAATGCCTAGTCATGCTAGGTGCGATAGTGGCCCTCTCTGTAATTAATATTTTATAATATGTAAACCACACAGTATCTATAATATGTAAACCCCGCGTTGTAATCTTTATCAAGAATAAACCAGATTTGATTTGATTTGATAAAGGCACTTTGCCAGGACTGTGATACACAGATAACCCGCACATAGTAGACTCAAACTTATGACCACATTTAAGTCCGTCTTGGACCATTAACGAGTCTCTCTGTGACTATTTAATGGTACAAGTCGGACCGAAACGTCGTGATAACCTTCAGCCTCGTGGTAACCTTCAGCCTCGTGATAACCTTCAGCCTCGTGATAACCTTCAGCCTCGTGGTAACCTTCAGCCTCGTGATAACCTTCAGCCTCGTGATAACCTTCAGCCTCGTGATAACCTTCACCCCGTGTAACCTTCAGCCTCTGTAACCTTCAGCCTCGTGAAAACCCTTTTCACCTCGTAAAATTTCCCAGTCGTGAAAACCCTTCAGCCTCGTGTAACCTTCGCCTCGTGATAACCTTCCCCCCGTGATAACCTTCAGCCTCGGGGTCCCTTCCTCGTGAAAACCTTCACCTCGTGAAACCTTACCCTTTTGGATAACCTTCAGCCTCGGAAAACCTTTCAGCCCTCGGTAACCTTCAGCCCTCGTGAAAACCCTTCAGCCTCGGGGCCCTTCACCTCGTGATAACCTTCAGCTGGAAAACCCTTCGCCCGTGATAACCTTTCAGCCTCGTAAACCTTCAGCCTCGTGTAACCCACCCGGATAACCTTCAGCCTCGTGAAACCTTCAGCCTGGAAACCTTCAGCCCGGTAACCTTCCCCTCTTAACCTTCGCCTCGGATAACCTTCCCCTGTGATAACCCTCACCCGTGAAACCTTCAGCCTCGTGAAAAACCTTCGCCTCGTGTAACCTTTCACCCGTGTAACCTTCAGCCCGTGAAAACCTTCACCTGTGAAAACCTTCACCTCGTGTAACCTTCACCTCGTGAAACCTTCAGCCTCGGGGTACCTTCAGCTCGTGAAAACCTTCAGCCTCGTGATAATTTTCAGCCTCGTGATAACCTTAAAGCCTCGTAAAAACCTTCACCCCTCGTGAAAACCTTTTCAGCCTCGTGAAACCCTTTCACCTCGTGATACCTTCAGCCCTCGTGTAACCTTCCCTCTGATAACCTTCACCTCGTGAAAACCTTCCCGTGATAACCTTACCCGTGTACCTTTCAGCCTCGTGAAAACCTTCAGCCCCGTGTAACCTTCACCCTCGGGTAACCTTCACCCTCGGATAACCTTCGTCTTTGAAAAACCTTCACTCGGGTAACCTTCAGCCTCTTTAACCTTCAGCCCGTGATAACCTTCAGCTCGTGATAACCTTCACCTCGTGAAACCTTTCACCTCGTGGTAACCTTCACCCCTCTGAAAACCTTCACTCTTTAAAAACCTTCATTTCCCGTCTTTAAAACCTCACCTGGGGTAACCTTCACCTCGTGAAAACCCTTCACCTCGTAAAACCCTTCAGCCTCGGGTAACCTTCAGCCTCGTTAACCTTCAGCCTCGTGATAACCTTTCCCCTCGTAAAACCTTTCAGTTTGGGGAAACCTTCAGCCTCGTGATAACCTTCAGCCTCGTGATAACCTTCAGCCTCGTGGAAACCTTCGCCCGTAAAACCCTTCAGCCTCGGGGTAACCTTCACCCCTCGTGATAACCTTCAGCCTCGTGATCCCTTTCAGCCTCGGGGTAACCTTAGCCTCGTGTAACCTTCACCCCTCGTGGTAACCCTCACCCCCTCGGGGTAACCTTCAGCCCGGGGTAACCCACCTGTGTAACCTTCAGCCTCGTGTAACCTTCACCCCTCGTGATAACCTTCACCTCGTGATAACCTTCAGCCTCGTGAAAACCCTTCAGCTCGTGATAACCTCAGCCTCGTGATAACCTTTCAGCCTCGTGATAACCTTAAACCCCGTGAAAACCTTTCAGCCTCGGGTAACCTTTCCCCTTAACCTTCAGTCGGGAAACCCCTTCACCTCTGATAACCTTCAGCCCGGGTAACCTTCAGCTCGGGGTAACCTTCACCCTGTGGTAACCTTCACCCCCTCGGGGTAACCCTTTCAGCCTCGTGAAAACCTTCACCCTGTGTAACCTTCACCCTCGTGGAAAAACCTTCGGGGCCCCTCGTGGTAACCTTCCCCCTGGGGGTAACCTTAGCCTCGTGATAACCTTCACCCCCTTGATAACCTTCAGCCTCGTGATAACCTTCAGCCTGGGAAACCTTCACCTCGTGATAACCTTCACCTCGTAAATAACCTTCAGCCTCGTGAAAACCTTCGCCCTCGTGAACCTTTTTCCCCGCCCGTGTAACCTTCAGCCTCGTGAAACCTTCAGCTCGTGTAACCTCAGCCCGTGATAACCTTCACCTCGTGAAACCCTTCACCCGTGAAAACCTTCAGCCTCTGAAACCTTACCTCGTGAAAACCCTTCACCCGTGATAACCTTCAGCCGGGTTTGGGATAACCTTCAGCCTGTATAACCTCACCCTCGTGATAACCTTCGCCCGTGAAAACCCTTTTCAGCCTCGTGAACCTTCACCTCGTGGTAACCTTCAGCCCGTGAAAACCCTTTTCACCTCGTGAAAACCTTTCAGCCTCGTGATAACCTTCAGCCTCTTGAAACCTTCACCCTCGTGGTAACCTTCACCTCGTGAAAACCTTTCACCCTCGTTAACCTTCAGCCTCGTGAAAACCCTTAGCCCCCTATGTGAGGGTTATTTAGTATTACTCGTGATTTAGGAGAAACTCCAATCACACAGATTTTAAAAAAATTAATAGGAAATCAATACATCAAGATTAAAAAAAGAAGGTAAATAAAAATTTAAAAAACAAATAAAAATTCGCATCCAGTGAAAATACGATGGGCTCCTCCCATGTTACTCACTGTGGTCTCCTCCCATTTTCTCACTGTGGCTCCTCCCATGTTACTATTGGTCTCCTCCCATGTTACTCCGGTGGGTCTCCTCCCATTTACCACTGTGGTCTTCCCTTCCCGTGGTCCCCCCATGTTCTCCTGTGGGTTTTGTCACTTTAACTTTCACGTTGTCCCCTCCCATGTTATCCCCCCCCTGGGGTCCCTCCCCGTTACCATTGGGTCTCCCCCAGTTACCCCTGTGGTTTCTGTCACTTAACTTTCACGTTTTTATCCCCCCCAGTTTTCTCACGTGGTTTCTGTCACTTAACTTTCACTTGATCTCCTCCCAGTTACTCACTGTGGGCTGTCACTAACTTTCACGTTGATCCTCCCCCTGTTACTCCGTGGGTTTTTTCACTTAACTTTCACGTTGATCCCCCTCCCCTGTTACCACTGTGGGTTTTTGTCACTAATTTCACTTGTTCCCCCCCCTGTTTTCCACGTGGTTCTGCACTTAATTTTACGTTGACCCCTCCCTGTTTCTCACTGTGGGTTTTTTCACTTACTTTCCGTTGATCCCCTCCCAGTTACTCCTTGGTTTTTGCACTTTAACTTTCACGTTGATCCTCCTCCCATGTTACTCACTGTGGTTTCTGTCACTTAACTTTCACGTTGATCCTCCTCCCATGTTACTCACTGTGGTTTCTGTCACTTAACTTTCACGTTGATCCTCCTCCCATGTTACTCACTGTGGTTTCTGTCACTTAACTTTCACGTTGATCCCCTCCCTGTACCCGGGTTTCTTCACTTAAATTCCGTTGATCCTCCTCCCATTTTCTCACGTGGTTTTTGTCACTTAACTTTCACGTTGATCCTCCTCCCATGTTACTCATGGGTTTTTCCCCCTTAACTTCAGTACTTAAGGATTTAGGGTCGGAAAAAAAAGAAAGGGAAGGTTTTCAAAGGAGGGGGGCCCCGCCTTCTCACTGGTCGCCCCACTCAAAGTATCTTCTCCCAAAAATCAAGGTTTTTTAAATCCAGGCTCCCTCAAAACCCTTTTACCAACCCGACCAGAACCACCGGGCCGCAAACCCGGACCCCCCCAAGACCTGGCCCCCCAGTACCCCCCCAGGGACCACCCCGGGCAAACCAGGACCCCCCAGGCGGCTGCCAAACCCCCGGAAAAAAAAAAAACCAAAAAAGAAGAACCCCAGGCAAAACAAACAGGGACCCCCAGGCAACAAACCCGGGGCCCCCGGACAAATAGACAGAGAACCCCAAACAAAAAGGGATCAAACCCCCCCAGAGTACAGGCATCGGTGGAAATTGGGGCAAAATGGACCCCGTTGTTTAAACGTCTGAGACGGGGCGAAAACAATCCTTTCTACCGGATTTCCCCTTTCTTTTTTCCCCGAAAATCATCCCCGTCCCTTTCGCTATCCCTCTTTTTTAGTTTGTATTGGCTAAATAAAAATAATATGAATTACTAAAAGAATCCAATGTTTCCAACTTCTTTGTTTTTTTACCTTCTGCCCCGTGAAAAGATTCCAAAAACCCTCCGCGAAAACCCTTTGGCTTACCTTCTTTTGAAAAAATAATTATAATTTAATTAAGCCTTCTGCTTGTTTTCCCCCACCCCAATAAAGCGCTCCTTTGTTTTCAGTTTTCACCGGGGGGTCACTTCACCATTTCATTTTTTTTAATTCATTTCCCAATGTTGAATTGAATGAAAAAACACTGGTGGGTTACGGCAAAAATAAAAAGATTACTGAAATTTTAAACCCCCGAACTTCCTTTTTATTAACTTGGGTTCATAAATTTTTTAGGGTTTCCTTCGTACTACCTTGGCCCTTGTTTATCAAAATGGCCCTTAAACTTTAAGGGGTTTTGGGGTGTAAATTAAAAAGGGGGTTCCCTAAATTTATTAACCTCCCTCCCAACAAAAGGTGTACTTATTTTTTATCTTCCCATTTTCCAAAACATTGGGCATTTTAAATTTCTTAAACGAGTAATGTGTCATTAAAAGGTTTAACGCAAAAATTAACTTGTCGCCCCAAACTTCAAGTGACGCTGCCTCCAGTAATGGGGGTTTTAAAAATTTTAAATTATGGGGGAGTGGGGTGGGTATGGGGGTTAAATTTTGGGGGGGTGGATTATAGGGGGATGGAATGGTATAGTGGGTGATTTGATTATGGGGGGATATGGGGGAAAGTGGGTGAGTGGAGTGGGTGAGTGGAGTGGGTGAGTGGAGTGGGTGGGTGGAGTGGGTGAGTGGAGGGGTGAGTGGAGTGGGTGAGTGGGTGGGTGAGTGGGTAGGTGAGTGGAGTGGGTGAGTGCAGGGGGTGAGTGGGTGGGTGAGTGAGTGGGGGTGAAGTGGAGTGGGTGAGTGGAGTGGGTGTGAGGGGGAGTGTGGTGAGTGGAGTGGTGAGTGAGGGGTGATGGAGTGGGTGATGGTGGGTGAGTGGAGTGGGTGAGTGAGTGGGTGAGTGGAGTGGGTGAGTGGAGTGGGTGATGTGG